CCACGTCCCACAATGCAACGCGGATCCCGAGCCCTATTTGGTTCCTCACCGGCTTGTTTTGTTTGTATGACCGCCATTGTGGAAAACGACTGGTGAAGATGGAGCAGCTAGAACAGCGAGGTGCGCGAGAATGCTGGGACCCTTTTCCCACCTGGATCCCCGCTCTTTTTGGCCCTCATGTCCCTCCATTGTTGTACGAGGGGGGGGGCTTGTTAGGCCAGTTGCTATTTCGGTGAACACTGACAATATTTCTTTGGATGATTTTAAAGTTCAACTCCTCCAAGCTTGGTGTGTTCACCATCAATGTGCAGCTTTTCATTCTTTTCATTCTGATCTTGTCACACTCCCGCCCCCCCGCCCCCCCCATCAGCACATGCGGCCCTGCATTATCCAGCTGTAGAATTGACCTCTAATCGTCAGGTTGACCCATTGCTTCCCATGACCTGTGACCTCTTGGGGTCAAGCATTCAACCGTCTGGACCTCCTCCTCCTGCTCCCCCCCCACCTCCAAACTGTTCAGATGTGTCCCTCTCAGACTACAGGACATCTATGGGATTACGGTTAAAGATTATATATTGGAAATTTTTCCCATATACAACTTGATTTTTTTTAATTTCAGTAATTTTTTTGTCAAAGTTGACAATGGTGTGACTTTAAATGGGAACAGCGGTTCTTTGACATCGGGCCCTTGATTATTTTTTTACGTTATTACATCATGTTCTGTAGACTGCTGGTTTCCCTTGAACAACTAAGTAGCGCAGACGCAGACGAAGCAGGACCTTTCCCTGCCTGTGGATCGCAGATTTTGCTTTTAAGTCTGATGGATGTGTCCATGTGAGACAATGAATATATAAATGGAGGGAACTTGGAGATGACATCCTTTTAAAGGAAAAGTCGCTCATATTCAGAATTCAAACTTCTGAAAGTTCTTTAAATCTGAAATGATTCCATCCTGTTCAATAAATGATCAGAGTTTTTAATTCAGAGTAATTTTCATGTGAATGTGCTTTACTGGAGGCATCCATGTTTGTCAAAGAACACTACTGCCACCTACTGGTTAGTGGCGTCACGGTGCGGTATCGGCTGTTGATCAAGTCCCAGTGCTGTATCTGGTGTTTGTCACAACGCGCTATTATCCAAGTCATCTTGAAAACATTCTTCTTCCAAATGTTGGCTACATATTACGGGTTTTTTTCCTCAGGCCACCCTGGTGAGGGAGTTCCTGAGGGTTTAACATGTAGTGATCCCCACCAGAGTCTTCAACATCTCCACCAGCCACCTGTCCGCCCCAACAAACCTCCTGGGTCTACAGGGCCCACCAGGATGCGGCCACTCCTATCTACCCAGGTATGCTTAAATTGTGGGACCCCCCTCCCAGACCCTGACCAGTTTTTGGCCCACCTGTGGCCCTAGCCACCACAACCACAGTCCACCCACCTTGCTAGAAGCTACCCCTAGCTGTTGCATAAGCAGCCACACAGCATGGAGTCATGCAAGATAAAACCACTTGATGCTGGTCTGCTTTTATCCTCTCTAACATAGAAAGGATTCCCCCTCAGGAATGGATTTCTGGGCCCAATGTCAATCAGAGCAGATGGTTGTAAATTACTATCTTTAAGAATTATGAAATTGTGGTTCTGCTTGATCTGACTTTTTGTTAAGTGGTATTTTTCCTCTCCACTGTTACTACATGCATGCTCAGTTTTAGGGATTGCTTCAAAGTCAGCCACATAAATCAGGTGACTGTCCACTGCAGCTACATCCTCTTTCAGGAGTGAATTCTGCTAATCAGGGACTGGAAGCTCTGTTGGTTTACTTAGATAGAAAATAGAATAATTCAGATTCAGAGAGAATATACAACTAATCTGTAAACCTTGTATATTTCACTGGCAAGTTATTTGCCACAAAGTTGAAGTTTTCTTCATCTGCAAAGAGCCTCCAATTAGTGCTAAACTAAAGGACTATTCTCAGTTTTTTAATGAGCAAATCAAAAAACGGGTCAGATTGACCCAGTATTCAAGGTGAGACAGTGGGAAACGTTCATTGAAACAAGATATGAAGTTAACTGATGCAGAGCTGTGGACCTGCAGGCTGCAGAGGCTGCAGGAGGGGGGGGCACCTCATCACTGACACTCTGGAGGCGCAGATGCAGCTTGTTTGGCTCCTCAAAGCAGCAACCTCACTGAGCAGTCAGGAATCCAATCCAGGTGAGAAAAACAAATCAGACAGGAAAGTTGTGGGATCCAGGAGTCCGCAGGGTCAGGGGTTCTGATCCGATCAGGAACAGACAGATCCAGAGTTCCAGGAATCCTGAGAGCGTGAAGGCAGGTTCAGAGTTCCATGAGTCCAGCAGATGGAGACAGGCAGGCTCAGTGGTTGAGGGACAGAGAGAAGACATGGTACCAGGATAATTGCAGAACTTTCAACTGTACTCCACCCAGGAGCCACGACACGACCAGGAGACGAGACAAACTCCAAAACCCTCTCAACCCATTGGTCTCCGGGGAAGGGAACACAAACCTGGGAATCCCTCGAACTAAAACTAACAAACAAAAATAAACGAATATAAAGCAACAGATGCAGATGCATATTTTCAAGGCTGCACTTAAAAAAAAAAAATTCCAGAGAGCTGTTCCACACGAAATTTCTTTTTGTTTTACACTTGTGTAAACAAAATGAGAAATAAATCTGTCTAAGGTGGATATGATGAGGAATGATTAAGAACCAGGCAGAGTCAGGCAGGTGAATGAAGTGAACACTTAAGGTCACCTATCAGGGGTCAGCTATCATGACAGAGCAGACCAGATTTTACATCTGATATAAAATATATGATCAGACCTGAACCACTGAACGGAGACGGTCTTTAAAGCAATAGTCTACAAAAAAAAGAAGGATTTTAAATTCTTAGTTACTAAGAGAACATCCTTAAAATGAGTAAAATTAATCCCACATTTGGACAAAAACCTAAACTGCATCGCTCAATATTAAAAACAGATTCTTCTGAAACTTTTCTTCTATTTGGGAAAATTGTAATTCTGTCTTCTTCCAATTAATTCAGCCAATTCTATTCGGTTTATCTCTATAGCTCCAATTCACATCATGTCATCTCAGGTCACTTTCCAGTTCACCAGAACATCCAGTCAGATTGATTCAAAGTTTTCTATCTAAGGAAAACCAGCTGATTGCATCGACTCATTGACTCTTCAGCAATCCCTCACACTAAGCATGCTTGTAGCGACAGTGGAGAGGAAAAACTCCCTTTGAACGGGGAGAAACCTCCAGCAGAACCAGGCTCAGTGTGAGCGGCCATCTGCTGAGGCCCACTGGGGTTCAAGGAGACAGAAGCAGACATAGAAAAAGAAGCATAGATGCAAAAGGCAACTGTCAACCAGCTCCACAGGCGGCCCCGTCCAGGAAACACACAGCCAGGCAGACGAGCTCCGAGCCAGCTCCCATGTCAGAGGATGAAGAGAGCACATCCAGTTAGTCACAGTCAGAGAAACAGGACTACACTGGAAAACAGGCTGATCTCCAACATCTAGAAACAAAGGTGTTGATGGCAGCAGCACAGCTGATATTTCTCTCCAGGATGGAGTCACAGCCAAACAGGAACAGACCAGATGAAGCTACTATGAGAAAAAGCAGAGAGAGCAGAACGTTAGAGATTGAACTAACAGATTCTGCAGAGTGGGAGAATAGAGATAGAATGAAGCAGAATGATGAAAAAGGGGTCCCTATGTCCTCCAGCAGTCTAAGCCTATAGCAGCATAACTATAGAGATAGCTCAGGATAACCTGAGCCACTCTAACTAGAAGCTTTATCAAAAAGGAAAGTTTTAAGCCTAGCCTTAAAAGTAGACAGGGTGTCTGCCTCACGGACTAAAACTGGTAGTTGGTTCCACAGGAGAGGAGCCTGAGAACTAAAAGATCTGCCTCCCATTCTACTTTTAGAAATTCTAGGAACCACTAGTAAACCTGCAGATTGAGAGCGAAGTGCTCTGTTAGGAACATAAGGAACAATCAGATCTCTGATATCAGATGGAGCTTGGCCATTTAAGGCAACACCAAGATAATTTACTTTTATTATCTGAAATCAGTTTAATCCCATCCAAATGAAGTGACTGGCTAATCAGTTTCTTTTTCAGAGACTCTGGTCCAAAGACTATAACTTCTGTTTTGTCTGCATTCAGAAGCAGAAAGTTAAGAGTCATCCAGGTTTTTATGTCTTCAGACATGCCTGTAATCTATGTAATGGGTTAGCTTCATCTGGATTATAGACAGATATAGCTGGGTATCATCAGCATAACAGTGGAAATTAATCCCATGCTGTCTAATAATTCTACCAATTGGGAGCATGTATAAAGTAAAGAGAATTGGTCCTAGCACTGATCCCTGTGGTACTCCACAGGTAACCTTTGAGCATGAGGAAGATTTATTATTAAGCTTGTGATGAATTCAGGCGGTGAATGTTTGGGTCTGATGGACTAATGCTTCTTCACACTCATCAGTCTGCATCATTATCAGCAACAGAAATGAAAACAAGTGTTAAACAAAATAAGTAAACATTTCTTAAATTAAGTGTAAATAAGAATTAAAATAAGACGATTTGTTAATATGCAGTTGAAGTAAGACAATGCAATTGTTTTTCATATTTGAAATTTAAATTTTCTTGTTTCATTGGCAAAGTGTGTCCTTGACCTCAATTCTAGAAAACAATGCAGCTATTCTAAGAAAAAAAAATTCAGATGTACATTTTTTTTTACATTGGATTAAAGATGAAAAGCAATGAAATACTTTATTGTTTTTTTTCCTGCCTTTTTGTTGAAGTCGTTTCATTGATATTTTCCTGCAAGGTGGACTTTGGTCCCTCATTCCTGGGGGGTGTAAGCAGTGAGGGAGGGGGGGAGAACAGGGGAGGAAGTGATCCTTCATGACTGAAATGTGCCTCCTGGTTGTGGGCATGCCCAGTAGAGCTCCCCTCGCTGCCTGAAATCCAGCCTCTAAATTTGAACAGGAGGGGGATGAGATGACGGAGCAGACTTTAGCTGCTGCTGCTGCTCTCTCTGGTACAGTTCCTCCTCTCACATGTCAGTGAGGGGAAGTGCTTAGTTTTCTGCTCGTAATAAAGAGTATTTTGAAGAGGAGGCTGCAGGATAGACAAACTTCCTCCTCTGCATTACCTGCACTTCTACCTCCAGGGGAGCAGACAGACCAAGTTCAGATGCAGCCAGCAGGGAGCTGGAGAGAAGACAGAGAGACGGGCTGAGAGCTGCTCCACTTCCTGCACTGCACAGGTCAGTAAAGCTTAACAACTGCTAAATCATCCTCCTAATTCCACCTTTTCAATCCCTGCTTGAACTTTTTTATCAGTTTATTTCCTGCTAACTTTGCTCATGATCCCATAAAAGCAGCGTTGTTGTTGGGAGGGTTTTGTTGTAAAGAGGCTGCATGACATGAAGTGTCCTTTCTGCAGCAGCCGACCAGCAGTGGGGGTGCGGCTGCCCCCACCCCCAAGGTGCTTTATGTGGGAGCTGCTCCAGCAGATACTCTCTGATATGAGAGAAACCACGTGGTTAAAGAGGAAGGAGATGCAGATGGAGGCTGGGGTCCTGCTCTGCGGGTCAGGCAGCAAAGAACCATGAACTTTCACCCTGAGGGGATCAGAAATGTCTGACTTCCCTGTGGATTGTCTTTTTCCTGATCAGATGTTGAGAAACTTAACGAATAATGACCTCAGGTGTGGTTTACAAAGAGACATTTCCATTTGAGATCACGTTGAAGCCCACAGTCCTTATAACTCCTGGACCGTCAGCTTCTCACTGAAAGAAAAGACAATTGGAAGAATTTTATCGATTCATTTCCTTCAGTCTTTGGCGCTCAGACCTCGGCAGAAAATATTAGCGCTGAATTTTGTTTGATATGCTTGAACAGGAGTTTCCCCGCAGGCCTGAAACTGATGGAGGAGTGGAGATAGATTAGGTTGGTCAGTCTGTAGACTGCTGGTTAGTGAGACGGTCTGCTGAGCTTTATGGGGAGATCCTTAAAGACTGCGTGAGCTGATACTAGAGCTTCCCTCAGGGACCTGGAAGATGGAAGTCCAGTTTGGATAACAAAGGCTGAGAGAACCTGTCCATGATGAGCAAGCATGGAGCGACAGTGGAGAGGAAAAAAACTCCCTGTTGGAAAGAAATCTCTGGCAGAACCAGACTCAACATGGCGGTCTTCTGTTGGACCGATTGACCTGCGCTCTGGATAGCAGACAGAGACGTGGATTGGAGACCTTTTTAGATGAAATCTGGATGCTGATTGGGAGGGATACTTCCATTGAGGTGCGGTTCAAAGCTCATTTGTCGGCGTCGGAGGCGGATGAAGGAGAGAATCAATTAATTCAGTTGAACTTCTGCCAAGACTCCAGTTTTAAGAAAGTTAAATTATTACCTGCAGAGTTTCAACCAAATCAAAGTTTTACATCCAGTCCTTCATTCCAGCAGCCCTGAACATCCCAGTCAACATTTCTCCCATTAAAACCAGAAGCTCCCTATTAAATGTCAAGATTATAATTTTTTTGGTTGCTGTTTTTCTTTAACTAAGAAAGAAACTCACTTTTAATCTCAATTGGATTTCTCTGGTTGAATAAAATAATATATTGTTATAACAAAAATTATTTGAATAATCTAACTATTTTGATGATATTGATATGAAAATAATAATTATTCCTTATCTTTTGTTACCAGCAGTGGTGAAAGCATGTCCAATGTTTGTCTTTTCAGAAGCTTTTAGAATATTTAAACCTTTTAGAAATAAAAAAGATCAAATTACTGTTATATTTATTGTTTTACTTTCCTTCTTAATTAATGAATTAACCAGATTCGTTCTGATCCCAATTAACTGTCAGTCCATCACTTGATTGAATTCATCTGATCTTCATGTTCATTTTGTTAAATCTGGCTTTAAGGGTAGAAATAATGAATGTCATTGTCGTCCTTCCCTCGGAGACGAGCAGAACTTTTTTGTGTTTACCGTTGCCGGCGTTACTGCCGTCATCCCTGACATACCGAACATTCTGACACTCCGCTCTATCTTCCATGTTTTTATGTTTTTAATCCTTCCCCTCAGATTTCAGCGCTGAGAAGCAGCAGCAATGACCTCAAACATCTTGTGATTTTTTTTTAACACAGAATGGCTTATTGCCTGTTTCTGGAAATGCAGTTTTAAAGGATTTATAGCAGATTTCCAGTCAGACTCTGACTGTAAAATGATGCAGCTTATATTTAAAGAAGCCTCTATAGAAAATAGCTCTTCTTTAGTATTTTTTCTTATTGTAGGTAAGAACTTATCTAAATCTTTTCTATAAATAACAGCTGTTAAAATTATAGGCAATACTAGGCAGCTGCCTAGGGCCCCAAGTTCCTGGGGGCCCCATAAAACTCAGTTTACATGTATGTTTAATCCAACTATTCCTTATTTCTGCACATTAATTATGTTTTTGATAAAAATCCTTTGGCTAAAATGCCATCAGAACGCTGATAATATTAAGTGTGTCTCAGCCCCCCCCTTCAGTGTCCACCATATTGGATCAGTCCATTTGCTGCACATGTTCAGAAAGGTCCAAACAGACAGCAGCAAACCATTTGAAAACAAACCATGCAAAGAGCAGTGTTGCCAACTTAGCGCTTTAGTCGCTATATTTAGCCACTTTTCAGACCCCTCTAGCACTTTGATTTCTAAAAAGCTCCTAGCGCCAAATCTAGAGACTTTTTTCTGCTCCTGGAGACTTTGGAGACAACATCTAAAAGCAGCGAACTCTGCTCTCCAGAGCGAGTAGATTGGTAACCCCGCCTCCTGCCCTCCTCTATCTTGTCTGCTGTCATGATTCATGCAGCTATTATTTCATCCAAATGAAAAATGGAGAACAGAGAAGCAGATCATGGCTTGTCTACAGTGAAAAGAAGGACTGGGTTATTTACTTTGGCCTTTTTGGAAACACAGGAAGGAGCAATCAGCTAAGTGAGCTTAGTGCTTGGAAAAAATCTTTCATTCCTTTAGAGACAGCATGAAAAGTCAGCTGAGTACAAAACATAGAGAGGAAAACAAGAAGAAAAGGGACAAGAAGAGAGGGACACAACCTAGAACGGATAATGGATGTCTATTCTATTAACATTTCTCTATCTGGATAATGGGTCTGTTTCATGTGTTGTCTTCTCAGTTCAGAGGGCCCCTGCCTGTCTTTGCATAGGCCCCAAATTTCCTAAATCCACCCCTGATTAAAAGCGACATTAAGTGTAAATGGACAATACAATCATTTTTGGCCATAGTTGAGAAAATATGTAACAAAGAGATCAAATTAAGGGCAGCTTATTCGGTTTTAAAGCACGGTAGGCTTCAAAGTATTTGTGCAATAAGTGCATGGTTGTTTGCCAGAAGCGGTTCTTTGTAGCGGCGCTGTGGCTGTGGCAACTGGCGGAGCTGATTAGGCTGCTTATACCTCGGCCGTCTGGAGTTCATTTGTCCGAGCAGCAGGATGACTGCCTTCATTCTTAGAAACCCGGTTCCCATGTGTTCCTGCCAGGCTCTCAGCCCCGATGGCGCATCTGAGGCTCCGTCATCCATCACACAGCGGGCAGCCATGTTTTACTGAAAGGGCCGTGAACTTGTTACCTCTGCTGGGCTGTGGGCCTGAATGTCAAACTCATTTTTCTTTTCTTGTGCTGCCTTTATTTCCCATCCCCTTCCCACCATTGCTGGTGTACTGGAGTAATTGGGCTGCATTCAGAGCCGGCAGGTTGTCAGTTCAGCCTCTGAATAGAGAAATCAGCTCGGAGCCATGATTTCTCTTTGACCTCGCTCGCACAGCTCCCTCCCCAGCCGCCCTCTGGGGTCGTGAGGGGTCATCATGGTGACTCCTGCTTCTCGGCACAATGTCAGAACATCCATGGTACATTATCTACAGTTCCTCAGCTGGCCCTGAGCTCCGTCTGTAGTCTATTCTTTCCTGGGGTCTCTGGATCCAGTCTGCTCAACATGGCAGCCTGAGGGGGCTTTTATTCCTCCAGCAGAATTCAATCACTTGTCTTTCTTTCTACCTCTCTGCTGAGAGATTCAGAGTTTAATGAGGGAGGCGAGATAAAGGCCAGCTTATGGTTTGCCGGATGATGGAGAGGCTGCCTGTTTTGTTTCTGTTGGAGGAGGCACATTGTGAGCGCTCATGTGAAATGCGTTTTTTCTAACCAGAGGAGAAGGTGATGGAGATGTCTGAGAGAATGTCTCACAGAGCAGGGGTCATTAAAGTGTCAAAGGATGCAGCTCTTCACATATTCCTGTTCATTTCAGAGACGTCCAGCCTTACAGGGCGCCGAGCCCAGACAGAGGAAGCTTCGGCAGCCAAAGGCGTCTACTTTCTGCTGGGTTTTGGGATGATAAAACATGAATGCTTTGATTTCATCATCTGCTCCCACACCTGCAGCGCCGCGCATCATTTTAACGGGATTATCCTCTTACGTAAACCTGGGTGGCGTGGACGCCGCCGGTGTGGGAGGACATCAGGCTGGATGTGAGGAATTTCCTGGCTGACACCGGATCACGGGGTCGTTGTTTGGAGGTTGGCGGCAGGTCAAAGTCTGCGCCATATATCAGCTGTCAGCACGTGTGTTTGCTTTAGCAGCAATGCGGGCGTCAGCAGCGACGCAAGATTCCTCCGTCTGACATCACACACAGCAGTCAGAGTGGAGGGGTGGAGGAGTTCATCCGCTTTATACATGCCACCTCACACACTCACAAACACACACATCCTCGTTCTGCTATATGTAGTGAGGACCATGTGTTGACTCCCATTGATTTTCAGTCATTTTCAACCATTTCTATTCCCTAAACCTTTCAGACGTGATGTGATGTGAACCATTACCAATACCTCACCCTAACCCAACTGACAACTTAGCCCTGAACCGACCTATTAGCAAAATAGCTTGTGAGGACCAGCAAGATGTCCTCACTTTGCAACAACTGGTCGTCAATTTGATGGTGAAATTAGAAAAATGGTCCTCACTCTAAGGGCTAGACAAGTACACACACACACACACACACACTGATCTTGTGCCTTTCTATCCTTACAAAGTCTTTGCAATGACTTTCAGTCATTTTCCGTTAATTTTTAAAAGCTAACCTTTATTATAAAATGAATAGAATAGAAATGTCCCCACAGTGGGGGAAGAAAATGGGCAAAGGAAGGCAAACAGGAAGACAACACAATGAAAAAAAATATCAAAAAGAACAAAAATCCAAAGCTCTAAATAGATGA